AACAGGTCATTGTGTAAAAGCACAATAAAGAAATTATACAAAGGCATAGATAAACTATTAATATGTTGTCTTTCAGTTTGAATAAACAGACGCCAAGTCAAGTCAAATCTGTTCTGAACGCAGCTGCTGTGACACATGGGTCTCTGTGTTGTGGTACTCAGTTTTACAGGCATTCTGTGTGTATGTGATCTTTACGACGATCCAAAAAAACGCCATATTACCAACTGTAGCACTTATTTTTCAAGAATAGAGATGCCTTTCAGGACAACGCGCATGAGATTATTAACTGTGGTTGACTTTTTAGAGGAGGATCTTCCCACAGTCTGAGCAGACAGTGTGAGATGCACAGACATCTGACCGATCCTCCTAAAGAAAACAGATGGAAGATTACTAAGGTAATAACAGCTACTGCACAACAATGGAGGTTAGCCATATTGTGTGTTTGTGCGTGCGTGCTGTGGTGCATACTTGCTTTGTACCCGTGTGATTTATGCTGTTTCAATCTTGAGGATCCTGGGGAATATTAATATGTGAATCAGAAACACATCGTTTGCAGTTAAAGTTGAGGCTGAATTTCTTCACACTATCTCTCTTGTCTGTTGCTAAACTTGTCTACTTTTTTCTACAACTTCATATATATATAGTTATGCAAATATATAAAACATCTGAAATCCTGGGTAAAATTTTTGGCTTTGCAATGATATTTATTCTAAGATCTATACAATGTGTGTATAAAATGAAAATTTGAATTAGCAAAAGTATATGCTGCCTTTTCAGCAGTGCTTAAAGTCAAACTGAGTTATAGACAAGATGCTTACCTTTGGTGTGGGAGACCGGGTTCAATTCCCAATGTGAGATATCCACCATTGTGTCCCTGAGCAAGACACTTAACCCCTAGTTGCTCCAGAGGCGTGCGACCTCTGACATGTATAGCAATTGTAAGTCGCTTTGGATAAAAAGCATCAGCTAAATGAATAAATGTAATGTAAAATTGAATTAAAATTAATTTAGCTGTATAACTTGTACTACTTATTGGGTCTTTTTTGATTTCTTTTATAAAGAAAGAAGTGCAAGACCTGCTGAAGACTCTGCAGGTGCTGAAATAAAATGAACAAAAAGTAAAGTCCAGTGAGAATCAGTGCTAAAGTTAGCACGCCATTTTCCACTTTCCCAGTTAACAGCATAGTAAGTCCTCACGAATGTTGCGTGTTGTAAAGGAGCAGATGACGCTGACAGACCATTACCAACGCTATGTGGGCTTGTTGAGAACAGATTAAACAGATTTATTTTCCAACAATTTTGGAAGGCACAGAAAAATGATGTCATCCTGTTAGAAGGAGCGTCAGATCAGAAAACACATTTGTGTGCTGTTGGGTCATGGACAAACAACATATTTTGTTGTTTAATTTGGAGGACTTTGTGGAGAAGAGATAGCGATCGAATCGTGGAATTTTGGATTTGCAGTTCAGGCATGTAAGTTTCAAAATAAAAAGTGAATTATCATGTTCCTCTGTTTTATAGTTCATCTGAAAATGTATCAGGGCAGTTTGTTTTCTTGGGTACTGAAAGTGACACCTTACAGTATGTGCATTTTTCAACAAGAGGAACAAAAATACTTTTGCAGCCTCAAGGAATGACCAGACCCTATCATCCTTTGTGTGCATGTGAGAGCTCGATGAGTTAATGAGTTTAACGTGTGCAATGTATTATAGTGATGCATACATTTCTCTGCATCCACTGTATATTTTTAATACAAGAATTATAATAAAATCTAGCATCCAGAGACACACGCAGAGACGGAGAGACATGAAGAGCAGCTTCAGAAACATATCATCATTAATTTAGCTATTCTGGTGAAAAAGGGAGGCCGCCAACCATCAGCAGGGTCATGACTTTCTGCGGACTGGACAGGTTCCTGAAAATCATTTGTGTTCATGGAGTGAGGCGAATGACGTGAAGGAATGCTCACAGTGATTACAGGCTGTGGTTGAAGATAAATTATCATTACACGAATAATTCTGGTGAATGCACTGACAGCGGGCCAAGGAAGGAGACTGGTGGTGATGGACATTAGACAAGATTTGTTTAATTAGGTTTTGTTTTCCAAACTGAGTCATTCAATTATGAACATTTTGCAAGCATTTTATCTAAAAGTATAAGTTCTGACATTGAGTTGGTAGTTTGATGCTATTTGCCACTGCTGTGATTAAATATCTGAACACACGATTCAGTGTGAGGTATTTGAAAAATAAGCAGCACATTGTCAGGTCCTTCCTGAACCTTGAGACTGGATTTCAAGGTATGCACATCCACCCCCTCTGCCTGAACTATGCAGCACATTCAGTGCTGGAGTCCAGCAATGTAAAACATGTGGTGATGTTATTTTACAAGACCAGAATTTATATGAGCATTTAAAATGTGCAAGGCAACTGAAAACTCCAAACTGTGCTCTGCATGGAGTTATGCTCTGTTGCATAACCATGTACTATAAGTCAGTGAGGGAGTTGGCACATTGAATAATTACAAAACAGTGTCTATTGTTGAGCTGTTGTTGAAAATTGTCCTCTGGTTTATTTCCATTGGTCAGGCCTCATACTCTAGGCCCACACCCCAGAACCATGAATACTGAGATTCCCCACATGTTTTTCAATCTGGTCAGGTCACTCAGAGAAACAGAGAACAACATATCCTGCTGAAAATTGAAAAATTAACAGAGCGGACGAAGAGGACTGACTGGATTTTCCAAAGGGCATTTACAGCAGTGCCATGGACCTTTTTCCTTTCTTTTTCTTTTTCTTTCTCTCTCTTCTCCAAACATCATGTGCATGTGAGAGCACAAACCACAGCTGCTGCAAATGTCACGCTAGTACTGAATGTTCAATACTTCAAAATCCCATTAATCATTACAAATAAATAGGGGATAAAGTGCAACTGCAGGAACATTTATTTTATTGGAAAGCTCTAAATCTCTAGCTATTTTTAATTCATATTGCCATCAGGCCGTTTTTTTCCCCCTGCAGGCAGTGACCCGGCTCCTGGCCAGATTCCAGTCCAAGTCTTACTTGGGTTAAGTTGTTTACACCAACCTTTGACATCATGCGCTTGACTGCCGTTGCTTTGAAGAAACCAGTTATCAAAATGTTTTGTATTGTATTCACAACTTGTTTCCGCCAATGAAATCAGTTACTGTGTGTTTAAAGTAAGCAATTGCATATTCACCAGCTAGTCGGTGTCCCCTCTCCCTGTCCCCCCTTCCCTGTCTCTCTTCAGCTGTCCCTATCCTATCTAATAACAATTCGTCATGATCTCAAACTAAGCACCCACAGCTTTTGGCAAATAAGGTTAGGGAAAGATTGTGGTCATGGTAAATGTTCTGGAAAGAACTACGCTCACATGAAGTCTGGTTTCAACTGTGAAAGTGAAGCATTTTGAGTATTACATCCTTTCCTGCACTGCCACTGAACTCAAACATTTTAAACAGTCTGAACAAATGATAAAGGCTTCTGGAGAAAGTATAACACTGAAACACATGAAACTCAGTTACTGAACTTACTTAGTAAGATTGATTTTACCAAAAAAGCTCCCTTTATAGTTTGAACCATATTGCTTTGCAAAGAAGATTGGGTTAAGCACGGCTTCAGCATCACACACATACAGTACAAGCCATATTTTTATATTATGTATGCAGCAGATTTAAATGAGCATGCCATTAAGTTTTGTAAAGGCTGCTTGAGCATATAGGATAGGGCAGAACGTGTCAACCATAACCACTTCTTCTAATGTGTCGTTTTAAGAGTAAAACCAAGCATAATTATAAGGCTGCTGATGTCAGGGTTTTTATTCCAACCCAAGAAATGAACAAGAAAGTGAAAGAGCTTCCAATTATCTTTAAATGAAGGCTGGCTTATGCTACTGAAATGCAGCCTCAAAAAAGTTTTTTTAAATAATTTATTATATTGGTCCTCTGACTGGGCTCTTTGTTTTTAGATCGTTTCACTGGGAATCAGTTCAGCTTTGACTTTATACTGGTCCAGAGACCAAGCACAGTCATATCCAAAACTGTGGTGTTCTGGAAACTTTTACAAGAAGACCCGTCGTGCCAATTAACCAAACCCTGTGCTTTGGAGAGTTTTAGTTTAAATCATCATAGCACTGACGGCTGAATATTCCAGTAAGCAACTTCACGGTACGACTTTTTTCCTTTGCAATGATGGCTCTTTTTGTTGTTTGCCTTGCTATAAATGCGTTCTGGAGCGAATGTGGTCTCCAAACAGAAACCCATAAAAAACAACCAAAGGCTAACGGATATGGGGTTTCAGTAACAATTGCCTCTGGTTATAGGAAGAATAAATCACCCTGCTAGCACAGGAGAACATCCATACATGGAACAGAATGCAACTGGCACTGCAGCAATCTACTGTCATACTGGATTTATGACTTGGCACATAAGTGGTGTATTTTGTGGCACAAACAATATCGTTGCCAAAAGGGATGTGCAGACAAAGATACATTTTTCTCTCAGATCATCGGCTAATAAAAATCACATCCAAGTACTGTGTGTTAGGAAGACTGTGAGAATCAGGTACCTCATTGGGGAAGTGGCAATTTCCTACCACCTTGAATATGTTGACTAACAAGCATTGAAAAATTATTGTCACTTCTTGTTAAACAAGAGTTGGCATATGCATTCGGATAAAGGCTCAAGGCCACTTAAGAGAGCCAACGACTAGGTGGAACTGTAACGGCTAAAAATATAAAAGAGGTCACACTCCTAATGTTTCAATAGGTTTGTGTGCACAGTTTTCATCTGCAATGGGGGATTATTAGAGACATTTCTGGCTCCTCCATACAGTTGTTTAAGTAGTCTGACTACACTGCAACCTGTCTGATCTGCTGGAGACCTTTGGATATGTTCCCAGATGTAATGCCAGGCAACAAGGGAAGGACCCTAACACAGACAGATGAGGCATCAGGATGACTTCAGTGATTTGTTTTTTTAATTTAGTTTACAGGCAGGCACAAAGCTAGGTACATACAGGATCGGGTAACAGGTAAACTAAAATGAAAACAAACCAACATGGTAACTAGGAATGACCTGGCAAGGAACAAACTAAGTGAACTAGTATAAATGGTGAGTGGCTGATTAGGGAGTGAGTTGAAGGTGAGGAACGGGCGGAGTAGGCCAGGTAACCGCAGGGCTGATGAGAGAAGTGGGAACAGGTGTGTAGATGGGTGGGGCAGTCAGGTGATGGGGAAAGACGGGAAAGTCTGAGGGCATCTAGTGGACAGCTTGAGGATGGCAGGTCTGGGGAGTTGAAGGAAAGAGCATGGCCTGAGAGAAGAGAGCAGGGGCTAGAGACAGAGACACAGAGTGAGGGTAATAATAATAATCTTTATTTTTAGAGCACATTTCCAAAACTAGTGCTTTCACAAATGCAAAGACAATAAAACACACATAGAACAGATAGAACAAGGCACACAATGACAATGAAAGCAAGAAAACACTTAAGAAATTAAAATACAGTTAAAAGAAATAAATAATTAAAATCAACTAAAAATCAGGAACGGCTCTCCTATAGAAGTATGTTTTAAGAAGGGACTTAAAAGAGTTCACTGACTCAGCCAATTTCCTCAAGCAGGCTGTTCCAGAACCTCGGGGGCCTGACTGCAAACACTCTGTCCCCTTATGTTTTCAGTCAAGACTGAGACAGATAAAAGACCTCTGCCCAAGGATCTGTGAAGGATCCGAGTTCTGTAAGAGCATCCTGCAGGTGCAGAGAAAAACACCAAATAATCTGTGCAGAGCAGAGCTTAGCCAATACCCCCTCTTACTAAAAATACAGAAAAGATCGATTAAATTTTACAATCACTTAAATCACTAGACATACCATCACAAAGCCCTAACATACCATGAGCTCTAACCAGAGAAGAGTCCCCTCAGCCAGCTGGTCCTGAGGCTCTCTGCAGTAACAAGTAACAACCTCAGGACAGCAACACCAACTCAAACAGACCAAACCAAATTATCAACAAGCAAAAAGAAAAATAGATAGATAGAATACTGGAAAGAAACCAAAACACAAAGTAAATTACAATGTTATGTGACCCTAAAAAGAGAATTCACACTGGCAAATTACCAGAGCACAATAAACTAAACTAAACTAAGAAAAATGTTGACACACAGACTGAGTGAACACAGCCTACCAGGAGAGGAGAGACTCTGCTCCCAGTGTGACAGGGGACAGGTAGAGACAGAGCTGCACTTTCTAACCTCATGCCCTAAATATAAAACACTATGATAAAAACACTTTGCAAATATTTCACAAATATACCCCGAATTCGAATTTATATCAGACACACAGAGACTTGCAGGAGAAATGCCCAAATGTCAAATAATTGCTGCAAAATGTGTCTCCTCATGCCACGAACTGAGGACAACCAGCGGAAACTACTGATAAATAATTGTACTAATTTTCAAATTATTATTTTGATTATTTCATATTTTAGTAATTGTTTTGTTTTTAAATTTCTCATTTGATACTAAGTTTTATTGTGTTTTTTTAAGTAATCAATTCATTTTTTATCTATTAATACACACACATTTATGGTTTTATATGATTATTTTATTTAAATTTTTAATATTTAATTATTTTTTTTACCACACACACAGTTTTATTTATGTACTTTTATTTTTAATGTTTCTTTCATTTTATACTTTTTATTATTATTATTCCATTTTTTATTAACACACAAACACAACTTTTACTGTTTTATTTACTTATTTAATTAAATGTATGAAATTAATTGTGATCATGTTTCTTTGTTCTGATCAAAAGTCTGGCAGCTGAGTTCTGGACAGTCTGGAGTCGATCAATAGATTTTGGGGTCGAGCAAGTAAAAAGACCTTTATCTTATCACTAATCCAGACATGAAGAGATTAAGATGTAAAATGGTCATTTTTTAAATATATTTCTAAAATGGTAAAAACACAATTGCACAATGCAGATGGCTGGGGATGAGTGTATGTGGTGACAGGAAGAGACTTGGAGGTAAACTGACAGTTCATATTCAGTTGTGGTTTAATTAATTTCTTAATACTTAAATCTTGGTAGTCTTCCTTGAGAATTTTTGACATTTGCTTTTTGTGATGAGGGGAACAGAAATAGTTAAATCCAGCGTAATCTGACTTGATGACACTAAACTGAACTCTCTCATACTTGCTGCCAGTAGACTGGTTTCCCAGGATTCTTTTCTAAAATGGAAGATGCTCCACAAATATTTCCGATTAACTTGCTTGATTCCGAGGTCAACAGAATCCCTTGTGGCAAAATGAGCTTTTTGTCTTCATTATATCTGGAGTGGGAAATTAATGATTTACTGATGAAGGCACAGCACTTGAAAAAATTTCCTTTTCTGTGGGAGTAACTTTACTTCCTGTTAGAAACAAGGAAGTACGTCCCAAAAAATCATGATGTAGTTTTTGACGTCAAATCAATTGTCTGACGCAAATTACAAATATATCACTGTTATTCTAAATTCAACATATTTGAAGCATGAATTGCACATTCACACACACTCCACCTACTCCCTCACTCTTAGTCCTCACACTCTCTCCACATGCAGACTAAACGCTGACACACGGTGATCCAGGCCAGACAGAAGCAGCAGGTCAGAGATGACTCTGAAGGCCTGCCAGTAACATTCTCACACAGGGGACTTTATCCTCTCACAGATTGCTTTGTTTTTTCACTGCTATCGTAAAGAGGGGGCCGACATGGAGGCCAACTCAAATACTACTCACTGTCCACACATGGAAAGTTTTGTGCCGCACAACTGAAACACAAACTTGACGATGCCAACTGATCCCATTAAATGTGAGAATAAAATATTACTCTTGAACTGCATGTAAAGACTTCTGATACCGTTGCCACCGCCGATGCATTGGTAAAACGTGTCAGACTGTATATAAGACGGGGGAATAAAATGATGACCCTCTGTTAGCTAACTTTCTGCAATAACTAGGCTAGCTAACTACAACTTAGTTAACTTAGCTAACTAAACTAGAAAGACAAACCAACAATCAGACACAGAGAGACATACCTACTGTAAGTTCTAAGTAAAATACATGATAAATTGGTTAGCTAGCTCACAGCGATGTTTATCGGTTTGATGCTCTGACTTAACGAGGCGTGACGGCGTGACAGTTTTTAACGAGGCATGACAGTGCGCCTGCGCAAGCTTGGAGAATGACGTATGACTTATGGAATTACTATAGTCATACGTCACAACCCCGGTTTAACAACTAACTTTGAGCACATAATTTAGCCAGTTGTCAAAAAATATTTGGCAAACTATGTGGGTAATCAACAATATAAGGAAATGACTCAAAAAAATATGAAATATCATAGAAATGTCAAAATACACTGGAGGGGGGCTTTAAGCTCTTGGGCTCAGCTGCTCGGAGGAAGGACTAGAAATCTGGCCCTAATACTCATAACATAATTCTCACAATGTCTCTCTACAGGTCACCCATATACCAATGATAGAACAAGGGCATCTCTAGCAGTATGTGTGTTGAATATTATATAATTATGTCATACCACAGATCCAGTTAAATTAATTGACTTTTGTGGTCAATATTATGGTGGACCGATCCTGACACAGGCAGAAATAAATAACTGCTCAATAAATAAATAAGCATCCAATTAAATACACAAAAAAATAAAGTAAATAAATAAACGTAGGTAGTAATTAAATTATACAAGGAGACATAAATGTATATTTTAATTAGTGCCTTTACTTATTCACCTTTGTTATAATTACCTTATTTATTTATTCTTCATTATAATCTTCAACTTTATTAATTACTAATTTTTTATGTATTTATTTATGTGTGTGTTTTAATATTTTTTGTCTGTTTTATTCTTCCTTTGTATTTTTTTACCTTATTTATTTTCACCCATGGTATTTATTTCTGCCTGTCCTTTTTACATTTCTGTATGCATTTCTGCCTCATTATGCAAATGAGGAGGGGCTGTGTCTCAAGGGGTCATCTTCTCTGCTATTGGTGGACCAGTCAGACAGGAGAGCTCTAGGCCTTCTCTGCTTGCACACATCAACGATCTTGCTCCTCACACAGTCAGATGGCTTCCTTCAGTGCGCTGAGGTGTTTAACAACTCTGAAGACACTACCAGCCATGTCTTCCTTCTCTTTTCACGTAGACGCTCCGACAGACAGTGCTTTCAGTTTGCTGCATGCATGGACACAGAACTGCGGTATAGGGAGAAGCACACGGTCAGCTGGCTGCAGCTAAATCTGGAGTGCACTCGTATTCAATTCTGTATGGTAAATTCAGTTTTAACGGAGCAGAGCGAGCTGACAGGCAGAGTTAGAGGCTTTTTCTGTCCGTTTCTCTCTTTACAAAGACGCATGTTGCAGTCAGAGTCTTCTCTGAGATGCGAGCACGACATACAACACAATTTATCAAATTACACAACGGATATACAGTATGAAAATAAGATTGATTGGATTATACTCACAGGAAGTATAAAACCTGTTACATGCGTCTATTAAAAGTAAAGTAACACAAAAATGTCAGGGAAATTACTTTACTTAGATTTAAGTACTGCAGTTGTACATTTGAAATACCTTCCTACCTTTCTGATAGGAAGCCTTCTTGAGGTGGTATAAAACATTTCTTCTTAAATTATGATTTGAGTTGTGGACAACTATGACCACATGAATTAAAAAAATAAACATTTCACTGCCCAAGTCAGCTATAACACAAGTCTTGTTCATCAGACTACATGCTGTACAGTATTTGTGGACAGATTTTGTCCCAGGATTTATTATGCATTTCTTCTTCTTTGTTGCATGATTTAGAATAATAAGGTGAGAAATGGGTCTGTTCTGAGGTCATCCTGCACTGCAGCAGCTAATAAAGTCCATTTAATCCCAAAAACGCTTTTCTTTTAGGCAGGCTGGAGCAGAAAACAACTCACCTTTCTCAAGTTGTACAGTAATGTCACATGTGTATGAAGGTGGATCAAACCAGCTAATCTTAAATGTCAAAGTAGAGAGGAGCCTAGTAGGCCTATTTATTTTCATTCATTACACAATATGAATAAGCTATGCAGACAGTTGTAAAGAAAGAACATCTTTTTCTTCTGTTCTCTACTTGTTATAGTTACACAGTATTAGGGGTGTGGGCTGTATTAAAAGTATCCACTGTTCTCCCATGCTCTAACACACAGTAATGATGAAATGTGTGCTGTTCTCACATTCTTCCTCTGTATGTACACATAAACAACAAGGCAGGGAAATATAAAAGGAATTTATTTTATTGTTTGGGGGT